TATATTTAAACTATTAACGATGTTAGAATCAGATACTTTAAGCTTCCATACATTGAAATGTACTCTAATTATACTAACATGAAAATTTCAAAAATTGTTCATAAATATTGCAAGGATGTTTTAATAAAATTAATTTTCACTACTAATAAAATACAAGATTGTTATTGCTTAAAAAAGTCACTTCCTAAATTGCTTAAATCTCATGTTGTCTATAGATTTTCTTGCGTTGGCTGTAATGCCAGTTATATTGGAGAAACCTCCAGACATTTGTCAACTAGAATAAATGACCCCCTTAAAAGCGATAAACAATCTCATATATTTTAACAAAACTATCTGTTAATTGCAAAAATCTGGCTAACTGTGATTCTTTTGAGATTTTTGATAACGCTCCAACTTAACACAAATTAAAGATAAAAGAAGCCCTCAACATTAAATGGGAAAGTCCCTCACTAATAAACAAACTTCACAATATCCTATAAACTTATCTATTTAATTTTACTGTTTGTTTATTATTATTATCAATTTTTTTTGACAGTTAGTTTTTTTGATTGGTTATTTACCGAGTTATTTTCTAATAAATATATTGGTTCATTATGTAAATTTTTGTCTGTTATTATTTCTCTGTAAAGACTTCTATTTTTTAATATTTATTTCAGATTTTTATTATTGTATAATAATCTTTTGAAAATGTAAATAAAATTTTACGAAACATGTCAAGAATAAAAATATCGTGTTATTTTTGAAAATAATTATTTATTTTTTGCTATTACGACGATCACAAAAAAATATATATATATAACTTGTAACTGAAATTGAAAGGTGAAGGCAAGTTTACGCTTCTCTTGTTTTGGATTCTTTGTCCGTCTTTTAGATATGGATTCTGTTGTGATCACACTTTGCGCTAAAGAACTTTTTTAAATTTATCTAAACGATGCGGACATTTTTATTCTCAATAAAAAACTGCACTACAAGAACTTTGTTTCCAATTCAATAGAAACTAATATTTATGAATCCAAAAAAAAATCATCTCAATTTACCTCTGGTTATTTAATCAAAGAAACTTGAATCCATTCTCTAATGTCAATGTTGTTCTAAGAATGTTTCTCTCTACTGCTGTTACAAGTTGTAACGGAGAAAAGTTTTTTTTAAACTTCAAAAAGGTATTAAAAAAAAGGATATTGCTGCAATTCTAACAGTAGACAAAAAAAATGTCTTTCAGCGCTAGCATTTATTTGTTCGTTTTCGGACAATGCAATAATTTTAGTTAGCAATATATTAACATATAAAAAAATCGACTTGAAAAACGGATATTATTTTTTTCGGGGTCTGGAGAGACCACAAACGTTATTTTGCTGGGGGGCCAGGATGACCTAAAGACGGGCCTAGATGTAGTAATCTTTTCCCATCCATAGTATTTTTATTTAAACAAGATATTAAAAAGAAACGACTTTTTGAGAATCGCCATAAGCGAAAACCAATCAAACTTTTGAACATTATATCCCGTGATGTCAACAGTAAAAAAGGCGAAAGCATGTTGTATTTAAAGTTACAAAAAATTAAAAATTCTTTACCTGGCGTTCTTATCAATTTTATATGAACTTAGTCTGAAAATTGGCAAACATGAATAAATTCATCAAATAAGGAGCAAGACTTATATAAAAAAATGACAAGACTTATATATAAAGCTAAATCGAGAATTTACAAATATAAATTTTCATACTGTCAATTACGAAAGTTATACTTCATAAGAATGTTTATCTCCAAGTGGCCGCACGAAGATAAACCTTTTTGTGAAAAACCCTACATAGAGTTAAACCTGCTGTTCGTTCTTGCAGTAACAGTTTTTTAATAGAAATGTTTAGCATTTATTTTCTTATACTTTCTTGTAAAAAAAATAAATAATAATCCATAAAGTTTAGTTTATTTATTTATTTATTAATTTATTTTGTTAACATTAGTTTGTCGTTGTACAATTATTTAGTGATAATAATTAAGAAAATACTAATTACAAGTACCTTTCACAAATTAACAATGATCAGAACCTTAAATAAGCTTAATAATTTTTTTTTATGTATAAATAAACTTAATTATCATTATAATGCAGGGTTAAAATATTAAAATGTCATTGATTAGAAAATCGGTAAATTAATATAAAAAAAAAAGAAAAGAAAGGCTGATGCCGATACCTATTGTGCAAAAAGTGACCAATTAAGCCGATGCCGATTAATCGGTACACCACTACTATAATGTCACAAATAACCTTGACAAGAACATAATGCACAATGAACGCGGATAAATCAAGTAAGCAAAGAAGAAGCAATAGCTGAATAACAATACAGTCAGTTAAAAGGTGTTTTAATTGCATTTTGCTGTATAGTTTCATCGCAAAAATGAGTAGCAACGAAAAAATCAAAGCGTTGCTAAAGGAAAAAAATTGATACTGAATCATTTTAAACAAAGATTAAAGGTAGATACCAAAGATTTTTGCAATCCAAGAAAATTAGAAATCTACTTTGATTTCATTGATATAAAAATAAAATGATTTTTTCATTTTTAATTACTATACAATAACATGTGTTAGTGTTTGTGTAAATTAAACAATTTTTAATTTCAAAGCAATATGCATAAAATAAAAGTAATTGCTCTTTAGTTAGAAAAATGAGCTCAAAAATGGTAGATAAACTTTGAATTAGTTTTGGCTCATTATGCCAAAAATGTTATTCCTTTGCTGGGCAGTAAAAAAGAAATAAGACTCGTCTTACGCGTAAGAAAGATAATCTTGCCAACAGTCCAGACATTAAGCCAATTAAGAATTTTAGGCTTATCAGATAGGTTTTGTCTACAAGAGAAAATGGAAAGTCAAAAATGTTCAAAAATTAATTGGAAAAGCTAAGTATTGCTTAAGAATATTAATTCCAAATATTTATGTAAAATTATAAAAAAATTGTTTGATAAAAATTGCAATTTTTGTTTACATTGTTAGATTTTCTTCCATTATTACATCTACAGTATATTCAGTTTTAGCCATGTCAAAAAAATACGTGGTAAGGATTAAAAAAAAAAAAAAAGCCGCATTCGGTAAGTACAAAAATAAGATGAAAAAGTTCACAAAAATAAGATGAAAAAGTTCACAAAAAAAGAAAAAATAAGATGAAAAAGTTCACAAAAATAAGATGAAAAAGTTCAACCATAGCTACGATTAACCTATTAATTATATTAACTATGAAAACAATTAAATTTCTTGGAGTGGTTGTTGACGAAAATATTTAATGGAAAGGCCACCAACACTCAAATATCTAAAAAGTCTTGGGTTTATTTTTAAAGTTTATTTTTTTTTTCTTTTTTGTTAATTTTATTTAGGTGCTCTAAGAAGTCCTTACGGTCTTATCAAGGAGCACCGCGGATGAGCATTTAATTGGAAGTTCACGCCTCCTTCCCATTTGACTCGTCTAACTATCGACCTATTACTCTTCTTTCTATTATAAGCAAGATTTTTGAGTTTTTAATTAAGAAACACTTAATCTCTCATCTTGAATATAATAACTTACTTTCTGATCATCAATATGGATTTCGATCTTCTAGTTCTACAGCTAATCTGCTAATAGTAATAATCGATAGGTTTTATCGTGCATTAGATCTACTAAAATTTGTTCTCGTGTTACTCGTCATTAAGTCTCATCCTTTTTCTGTGACTAATCCTAAGTGCTCCAAAAACTTTAATTCCTCTAGTTTTTTTCCTTGAACATCAGTTCTTTGGAATTCGCTTCCTTCATCTTGCTTTCCTGATTCATATAGTTTGCAATCTTTTAAGTCGTCTGTCTGATTGGTTATATCAGTCTGGTTTGTTATCTGATAGGTTTTATTGTGCATTAGATAGAGGTGGAGAGGTTAAGGCTATCGCCGTTGACATTTCTAAAGCTTTTGATAAAGTTTGGCATGTTGATCTTCTCCATAAGCTTTCTTCTTACTGTGTATCAGGTAACATCTTTAAGATTATTAAATTCTTCCTTACCAATTGTAGTATAAGAGTTGTCCTCGATGGACAGCACTCTTCTTTATATCCTGTAACTTCAGGGGTTCCTCAATGTTCAATCCTTGGCCCTATACTCTGTTTAATTTACATTAACGATCTTCCAGATATTCTCACATCTAAGGTGATATTGTTTGCTAATTATACTACCATTTAATCTTGTCTTGATAAGATGTCAACACTATCTGATTGGTTGGAGGGGGCATTTGAGCTTGAAAAGGATCTCACTTCTACTACAGCATGGGGCTCGCAGTGGCGCCTGAACTTTAATTCAGATAAAACCCAATTTTTTTTCAGCCAATCATTATCACAAAAATTTAGATCTTCCTATATTTATGAACGGTAATGTTCTCGATGAATCATCTACCCTTCATCTTGTAGGATTAACTCTTACTTCCGATATTTCCATATATCAAGTCGATTGCAAAATTAGCATCTGCTAAGGTTGCATCTCTTTATTTTGAGCAGCCGTGGCGCAGTGGTTGGAGTTCTGGCTCAGAACCCAGAGGTCCTAGGATCGGCGCCGACTCTAGCCCAATAAGCAACATTAGGCAAGCTCTAGCCCAATAAGCAACATAAGGAAGGAGGTGTGAACTTCTAGTTAAATGCTCTCCCGCAGTGCTAAAATATAAGACCGTAAAGACTTCTGGCAACACCTAAATAACCTAAAAAAAATAAAAACAAATAAAAAAATTATACTTTTCAACAAAAATGCACTTGTCTTTCTTTTAAAATTAGCAAATCATATTGCTCATATTTGCCTATTCTGAGCCTGCCCAGCGAGCACACATATTGGTGGGACGTCTTTACGACGTCTATTGGACGTTGAGACATCCAATTGACGCCGTAAAGACGTCCCACCAAAATCTGTGCCCACTGGGTATATAGGGTTTCAAAATATGCAGTCGGTTTGTGCATGCTTCTCACCCGTCTAACAGGTAAACATCCGGTAAAGACCTAGACCTAGAAAGACCATCCATAGATTCTAAACTTGAACGTTGCTGGTCGACAACCATAATTTTGCGCTCTCAACGTGTGGCGGGAATCCTGCTATGAAACGAGAAGTGTTCGCACACCCCTAAAAATCTATGCTGATAATAAGCATTTGCCAATAATAGCATTAATGGCTGGGTTATCTATTGAGCAACTTATTGCTAAAAAAAAGGATATTGAAACTGAAATACAATTCAATAGCAATATACTTTCTAAAGTAATTTACTTTATCTCTCGTTAATACTATTAAGATCAATGACACTTTAAAGAAGTCCTTAAATTAAGTTAAATAAGTCATTAAAAACTTTTTTTTAATAGTAACTTCACTACAATTTCATTTAGTAATAATTTTACAAAACTATCAGTACTGTGTATCTCTTGTTAGGAGCGTATGAAAGAAATATTAAAAATTATTCATCAACTAAAAAGTAAAACAACAAGATCTATTTTCAAATGTAATTGGTTAATAACATTTGAAAATAGTATATTTATAAATAGATAATATATTTATCAAATGCTTCTTAATATAATTGAATTGCTAAGCATTTCAAAAAAGTAATAAAAAAGAAGTATATATATATATATATATATATATATATATATATATATATATATATATATATATATATATATATATATATATATATATATATATATATATATATATATATATATATATATATATATATATATATATATATATATATATATATATATATATATATATATATATATATATATAATATATATATATATATATATATATATATATATATATATATATATATATATATATATATATATATATATATATATACATATATATATATATATATATATATATATATATATATATATATATATATATATATATATATATATATATTATTTTCACAAGATCCATGCACAAAAAAAAATAAAGTGGGTATGCTCTAAAAAAGGCTTTCTATTAAACTTAAACTAATCAAGGAAGCCCAAATGTTGTTTCTTGAAGAAATGACTTTTGGGCTTCCTTGATTAGTTTAAGTTTAATAGAAAGCCTTTTTTAGAGCATACCCACTTTATTTATTTTTTTTTTGTGCATGGATCTTGTGAAAGGCTTGTGATCATGTTACGTTTTAATGTCTCTCAGCCAATTATTATAATCACAGTCAAATATTTTACATTAAGCAAGCTTCAATCCTTGTTATAGGTATTTGTCTTTGTAATTTTGTGTTATAATTATATTTTTCCATCAAATATAGATGTACCATAAATCTTAAATTATTTAGTTTATACAATGAAAACAATCAATATTATAGGTCTGAACTTTGTAGATTTTAATAAATTGGAACCTAAAACAATGAATAATTGTTAGAGCTATCTTTTATGCTTGCAATTACTGACATAAAAATAAGTTTTTTGATCATAACAAGTTTACTGGATTTTTTTTCTCTGTCTGTTTTTTGTTATTCATACAAATATAGGCTATTTAATTTAAGTAAATACTCTTGATTTTAGAATGGTGTTGGGATGTCTGAAGACTTGATTGATTCTGAAGGATTTCCTCGAGCAGATTTAGATGTAGGTCTAATTCGCAATGCTAGAGTCAAAATAATTTGTAAGTTTGCTTAAGAAAATTTACTTATTAAGTTGTAAAACTTTTTCAGTTGTATACAAAACTTTTGTTTTGTATATAACTGAAACTTTTTTTGTTTTGAATATAACTATGTAAATTTTTTCAGTTATAACAAATATATACAGATATTCAGTTATTTATAATACAGTTATATTTTATATAGATCTTCGAAATGATTTAAAAAACCTTATGGAAGAAATTGAGGAAAAACTTCATGAAATACACCAGAATTACAGAAGCAATAAAGATTTAATGGAGAAGGAAATAAGTACTCCAAGTAATAATTTGTTTTCTTACTGTAATTAAATATATTCCTTACTATATATATATATATATATATATATATATATATATATATATATAATATATATATATATATATATATATATATATATATATATATATATATATATATATATATATATATATATATCATGTTGGGCAGGGTGATCTCAAATAGGTCTTTCATGGAGGGGGGGGGGGTATGTATTTTTTTGCCAACTAGTAACAGTAAAACCAAAAAAAAAAAAAAAGACCTCAATATTTGCAATTTGCCAACTATAGTTCAAAACTTGCTCAATGTGCCAACTCAAATGCTTATATGACAGCTTGGAGGGGGGGGGGGGGCACCAATGACACCCCTCCCCCTTTGGGATATCCCAGATGTTGGGTCTCAAAATAAGCAAAATATTTTTTTTTTTTTTTTTTTTTTTAATTTTAATTCACCTCCTCAAGGCCGAGAAGGCCACTACAGACGAGGAGGCTACTTATTTGTGGCTATAACCCTCTCTCAACTCTATAACTCCGAAACACGAACCTTGACGAACAAGGCCGCTGCGCGGAGAAACCAGTTGAGCGCGGTACTACCAGGGCCGTGGTGGGGATCGAACTCGGAACCACTCGTTTATGAAGCGAGCGCTCTACCACTACACCACTACCGCATATAAATATTGTAAAAGTGCATAAAAATTATCATTTTTTTACAAAAAAACAAAAAAAACAACAACATTTTTTCATGGTTTTTGTCAAAAAAATCAACGTTATATTAACAAAAAGGGCTATTATTTTAAAAATTTCGCTACTTTTGAGACCCAGCTTTACATATTTGAACAACTTTTTTTTGCATTTAAGGGTCTTGATGCAAATTTCAGACTTAAAGTGGCCCCCTTAAATCTTATTCAACTTTGAAAAAGTTTAACAGAGTTTCCAATATTTAACAAAGGTCGTGAGAACCAATAGAAAGTTTTAAGAATAAGGACAGATCAGTTTTTGAAAGTATAGGGCTTTAGATGCACCCTAATACATAAATATATATATATATATATATATATATATATATATATATATATATATATATATATATATATATATATATATAAATTTTAATTCACCTCCTCAAGGCCGAGAGGCCACTACAGACGAGGAGGCTACTTATTTGTGGCTATAACCCTCTCTCAACTCTATAACTCCGAAACACGAACTTTGACGAACAAGGTCGCTGCGTGGAGAAACGAGTTGAGCGCGGTACTACCAGAGACGTGGTGGGGATCAAACTCGGAACCACTCGTTTATGAAGCAAGCGCTCTACACTACACCACTACTGCATATATCAATACCGCATATATACATATATATATACATATATATATATACACGTACTAAAGCGTGTTTTGATAAGCATTTGCTCGCTTTTTCTGCTTACCTTAAGCTATACCGTTTTTTTCAAAAAAGAAGAATAAAAAACGAAGAATGATGAATAAAATGATTGCTTCCCCATCCAAACCCTCAGTTGATGTAACAGCACTCCACTGCGAGTCAGGCTATTTGTCAGTGGATGTATGTACTGAAGCCCCCAGCAGCAGGCTATTTCAGTATGACATCAGATTGCTTACCTTAGTAGGCAATACTATTTGTGTATATATATATATATATTTTACTAAAATCTTATCTTTTTTGTACGTGTTTATTTATTTATTATTATAAGGGTTCCCAAGTGCCGAAACAAATAGGAGTAATTGCTCAGCTTTATGTGAATAAAAATTTGAGCAAAATCCATAAAAATTTTATTCATGTAAAGCTGAGCTTTACATGAATAAAATTTTCGCTTACTCAAAAAATGCTGAGTAAAAGCAATTGCTTTTTTTTATTCACCCGGCCTATTAAAAAATATATGTATGTATTTAAGTTATAAAATAAGGTTTGTGTTAATTAAAATTACCAATTCAGTTTATTTATTGAAATATTAGCAAAGAAGCATTTATTGTTTTGCCTTTATACTTCCGGTTGAGAGGTTAATATAAACTTTATTTTTTTGTTGTTGTAAAATATCTGGTTTGAATAATAAATGTACTTACCACAATGTTTTTTAAACGATTTTCAAACAATTTCATTATTAGATTAAACTTTTCCCCTTGAAAAAATTATTGTATTTTAATTCAACTTTAACAAAATAAAAATTGTTAAACAAAGAATACCGCTATTCTATGCTGTTTTATTTTTTCCATTAAAATATTTTGTTTTCATTTACCACAGTAAATAAATGAAAATTGTTATTTTGGATTTTATCAGTAAAACTTATCATAATTTTTAAATTTATATATCTTATATCTATAGCACTAATATTAACTTTTTTTTTAAATAAATCAAATATAAGTTTGACTTTTAAAGTGTTTACTTATTGTTTTTTTTTATTGGGTGTTTATATGTTTTATAAATGGTTATATAAAAAAGCATTGATCTACATAAAAATTAATCGGAAAAGGGAAAATCCAAATATAATGATAAAAATTCGAGTTAAAGTTATTTGAAAGAGCTTTTTTGTTTGATGTCATTTATGAACTACAATAGTGTTTATCACGCCAGTATTTATTTAAAAAAAAATCAAAGATCCGGAACCTTCGAGGAAAAAAAAATGTATTCTATTATTCTATATATTCTATTATTCTTGATGTTTCCCAGTTGGTTTTTGTATCATTATTTTTATGTTCTTCAATTTGTGTGTCTTGAAATCTTTTTTCTTGTTTTACCAGTATAACATACACCACATGTGCAATTAAGTTGGTACACTCCTGGATGACTATTTGAAGGCAGTTTAGACTTTTTATGGCAAAGTATATTTATTAAGGGATTACCAAAATGGAAGAGTGTTTTAACGCTGACTTTGGGACCCATAGTAAAATAACTAGATTTTTAGTATCAAATTTTTGAGAACAAGATGGATTTGTGGAGTATTTATAATTTTTAGCAATATCTGAATACTTTTAATAGGAATGTCCATTTTCAGTAAAAATCTTAATAAGAAAATTAATTTCATCCTGAATGTTATGTTCTGAACAAATTTTGTATGCTCGAGCTAAAAAAACCTTTAAAAATACCAACAGCGATATTCTGTGAAGTAGACGATTTCGGTTTTATAAGTTTTATTAGTTTGATAATGGCTCTCACTATATGAGCCGAAATATTACTTATAGAGAAAAGAAATAAATAGTATAATATCGTATATGATGTTTTAATGCTTCAATTTGTAATAAGATTCAGAAATATCTTTAATAATAGCTAAAAGTTGTGATTGTACACCAATATACAAGAACTCATCTGAATCATCATTATTCTTATGACAATCAAAAATATTGATAATAACTTTAAAAAATGAATCACCATCCAATAAAATTTTTATGGCTGAAGTTGGGTTTAAACCGCGTAATTTTAACATGTCTTGCATAAAATCTGATGTATTTTGGAAATGTACAAGATCTCTTAAAATTACATAGCCTATACTGTCAACAAACTCATATTATCTGTACAATAAATATAATTTTCTAATTCAGAAAGACAGCCAAAAATATTAGGCTCTATGGAAAGTTTACTTCCTAAACCTTTGCGTATAGTAGCAACCATCTCTTTTGTTTTTCTATTTGACAGCTCTAGCACAACCTGTAATTGCTTAATAATTACAAGGGAAAACTTCTGGATAGAATTTCTTTTTGCTTTATTTACTGGTGTGCCAATTGTGACATTGAGAGAATCTCTTCCTGTAGATAAATAAAAAGTAGATCCATCAATCAAATTTTCTGCAGCCAGTTTACTTTTTTTGATTCCAAAAGCAACCTAAATATGATTTGCACTACAGTATAACTTTTATAGTTAATATTTATGTACTATAATAATTTTTTTTTTTACTTGCTCAGCTTGAAGAGAACCTAGTAAGAATGCTAATGAAATAATATTAGCCACTGCACTGGTGGGTTTACAGTTATGAGGATAACCAGGTACAAGATATGTATACCAAAAAGAACAAACTTTATTCAGATTTAGGTAAATTAATTGTCTCATCAGGATGAGTGATATTGGTACTAGAAGAACTTCTCAAAAGAGTTTTTCACTCAACCTAGTTTAAGAAACTTTCATAAGTAAACAAAAGAAAGTAAGAAAAAAAAAGTTAGGATTTGAAAATCATTAAATATACCTTGGATACTTTAGCTCCCCATTCACCACTAGGTGAATCTCCCCTTTAAGGTCTATAAAAATTTCTTTTGTACCCAGGACAAGCAACTGATGGATAGTATTTGTTGTTCATCGAATATCCTGGAAAGATAAACATGAATTTGTTCCTTCTAAGTTTTTATTCATTTTTTTAATGATTTTGATCTTTTATCATACTTTTCCCAGCATCAACAAGTAGAATTCGTAGTTGTGTACAAAAATCCTAATAGTAATTAGATTAAGTGATTAAACCTTCCACAGTTTAAAAGTCCTTTAACTACTGAGCTGAACAATTTTTTTTTATCTAGAAAATATATTAGTTTAGTTGAAACAGGGGGTTAATTAGGTTAAATTTTAATCAATAACTGCATTAAAATTAGTTAAATTAAAAATTTAACTTGAAATTTATTTTTTAATAAAGTTTTCATAATATAATTATTATAATCATTATATTAAATAAGCCTGTATGCAATCTATGACAAATTAAATATTATGAAATGAATTTTAAAACCTCCTTTATGAAAGAGTTATTGGTTTCCAATGATATAAAAAAATTTTCAATTCAATTTTTTAGTTTAATTTTTTTGAATCTCAAAAAAATTAAACTTTTCAAAGTTTAATTTTTTTTGAGATTCTGGTCAGCAGATTCTATCTGTTGACTAGCCTCGTACCCTTCAGCTATTAGGCTGGCATAGATGTATTTGTAATACATTGTTTCTAGTTTAGGATGTTGAATGCTGGATCTTCTTGACTCAATGCATGGGTTTTGCTTGTGTCTTTGTTTTTATGACTAGG